ATACCCATGTTTTGTTTTGTTTTGTGCTTTGAGACAGGACCTCGCTCTGTTGCCCAGGCTGGAGTGCAGTGGCATGCTCATCGCTCACTGCAGCCTTAAACTCCTGGCTCAGGCCATCCTCCCACATCAGTCTGAGTAGCTGGGACTACAGATACATGCTACCATACCCAGCGATTTTTTTAAAAATTATTTTGTAGAGACAAGGTCTCACTATGTGCTCAGGCTGATCTTGGAACTCTTGGGCTCAAATAATCCACCTGCCTTGGCCTCCTAAAAATCTGTGACATTAGACACAAGCCACCCATCTGGGCCAATACCTATGTCCTTAATGAATTTAAAATATGCAGTAATTATGACTTTCGTCTGTGAAGTGATATCTTACAGGAAAGGGGACTCAGAGCTAACTTGACAAAATGATTACTACCCCTCCTTTTCTCCCTGTAATACTTGTAGACAGTAAAAATGAAAGCTAGGAGAGCTAGAGTCCACATTTATTGAGTTCTTACAGGGTGCCAGGCCTTGTTCTCAGCATTCCACATGTTCAAAACACTTTTGCATTATAATCATACTAGATCCTTACAAAACCTTGAGAAGGAGACAGAATTTGCGAGTGGGTTCTTATTTTCTCCCAGAAAACAGGAGCTGGAAGAGATGAAAGGGGTCACTAGCCTCTGGTCCCTGGATTAGTATGGCAGAACCTTGCATGACCCCTGGTCTTTCAACCCCTACCCTGGTGTTCTTTCCACTACACCGGTTAGACTCCCCAAAATATAAGGCTTTCTGGATGCCAAGGGTTATTATGCATATCATCCCTTGATCCTGGAAAATGGAGCATATAATTGTGCTTTCTTTACTGATTCACTTCACTGATCAAGAGCATCTCCCCATTACTTTTAAATATAAATGAGCCTCTCATTGGGGCCTTCTCGAGGAAATCCCAATCTCCATTCTAAAGAGTCTTCCCTAAAAGATGGCCCTGATAAGGAAGATGTTTTATTTTGTATTTGCTGTGTTCTTCATTTTGGCTCAACAGCCATCTGGTAAATAAAAATGGATGGGATTTTGACGGGGCGGATTATAAACCCTGATGATTCTTCTATGTTTGACCTTGAAAAGGAGTGTAATGGTCAACACCCCATGGTGCCTGTCATGGGAATTTCTTAGATAGACAGTGACATTTTCTAAGATCAAACTGCATATAGTGTATTTTTTTGTTTGTAATTTGTTTTTGCTGGTTACCTGGAATGCTGGCCTTGAGAAACAGAATAAAGATTGCAACTCTGCAATCTACTGTCTCCTGATATGCCATGTCACACGTGGAGTTGGGAATAATGTTTTATACAGTGTTAATTCCTGTGTTGATTTTCATTTTCAGAATGTATTTTGTTTTGAATTTAGGGAGCCAGGCAGGACTTGAATTTTCCCAGCCATTTTCATCAGGTGAGTAAAATCTCTTGTATATAGTTATTTTTTCCCTTAGGAATTCCGATTCTGTTGGTTCTCTTGGATGTCCAGAGACAAAAAGGGGACAGAGATAGTGGCGGAAATAGAATTGTCTGAAATACTTGTTTACTAACTTACCTTCTTCCCTTTCTCTTGTTCCAAGTATAATATTTGGATATTTTTGATTTCACAGAAAAATATCTTTGTGTCTGGACTGTAATTTGGCCATAGAAAATTGGACTCATTGGCTTTTCCCATTAGCTGTTGGTGCTCAGTAAACTGAGGTCATAGATTTAGTCTTGTACCAGCCAATTAGCTCTGCTCTGAGAACATGCCTGCCCATCTCTTGCAAGCTCTGCTGCTAAGTCTGGTAATAACATATATCACACATGAATGATGTTGGTTGAAGGAAGCTCAAATTAAAGCCCGAGGTTACTTCAGTGAAAACTCAGCACCATCGCAGAAAAGCTATTCATAATGAAGAGCCCACACATGTCTTCTCTTTTTTTGAAGTCATCTTATACAGAAAGAAAGCACATTATAAACAAAAATGAAAGAAATATTGTAAACAAAGTTGAAAAGGGTTTAGAAAGAATTTCAAAGTGAGAAAAATTAGGTTGCTACTAGTCCTTGAGTGTTTCCTGTGTACCAGGCATCCTATTAAAAACCTTACATGGACATTGTCATGTAATCTTCAAAACACTCCTATGTGGTAGTTACTATTATAACCAAAATATTTGCATATAATATTCTATTTGATTCCTAAGCTGATTTAAAAATGTAGTCAGATGCTTCTAGAATGGCCACTGGACAAGTGAGAATGCTGTTCTTAAGAACTTACTGAGGATACCTGGCGATTACTTGGCCCAAAGAAGACTTGAACCTAAGCTTCTTAACTCCATCTTCAAGGATCTTTCCAAAACCACAATATACCCCTCCCATTTTTGTCTAGCAAATTTCACAGTAGTATCAGGTATGTATTTTTGTAGTTCTATAGCATGTATGTCTCTTTGTCTGCCTATGGTTTACTTTTGATTCCTGCAAGATTATAAACACTTGGAAAGTAGGAATTGTGATAATCTGTTGCTTAAAAATTAACTCTCCCCAACTCCGTACTGCAAAAGCAGGAGCGCTTATTGAAAAGTCTCAGCTGGTTCTTGAAAATATTCTTTGTAATCATACATACAAACTATCCCCTTTATTTGGTGGATTTTGACATGTTCCCCATTTCTAGACAGTTCCTGAAAGACCTCAGCAGCTCTTTCTTGGCACAGGTGAGTTTGCTGTCTGTGAGTCGTGCAAGCTCGGTCGTGGAAAATGCAGGAAAGAGTGCTTGGAGTCTGAGAAGGCCGTTGGAAGTTGCAGGCTGAACCTCCTCTGCTGCCGATCAACGATCTGACAAACCAGTCCAGCACCCTTCTGACCTTAGAAGTGTATTCAAGGAAGAAGTTCAAGAGAAATTATGTGGCTTATCCAAGTCACACGGTGAGTGAGTCTCAGAATCATTCTCATTTCCTTCTCTCTTTGTTTCATTTTATTGCTTATTTTTTTAAAGATGACCTTTTTTTTTTTTTTTTTTGAGATGGAATCTCGCTCTGTCACCCAGGCTGGAGTGCAGCTGCACGATCGCAGCTCACTGCCACATCCACCTCCCAGGTTCAAATGATTCTCTTGCTTCAGCCTCCCAAATATCTAGGAATACGCATGCCACCATGCCTGGCTAATTTTTGTACTTTTAATAGAGACAGGGTTTCACCATGTTGTCAAGGCTGGTCTTGATCTCCTAAGCTCAGGCAATCTGCCCACCTCGGCCTCCCAAAGTGCTGGGATTACAGGCGTGAGCCACTGCATCAGTCAAGATCAACCTTAAAAAAAAAAAAAATCAAAACATGAGTGTGTACTTAGTAGCTACTCAATCAGATACCACTACTATATATTTGTGAAGTACCTTATAATTTATGAAATATTTTCCATACTTCTCTGATCTGACTCATGATTACCTTATGAAACTTTATTACTCCCATTTATATTTGAAAATATTCAGGCCCAAGAGGCTGTTATTTCCTCAGAGCCATAGCTAGGATCCATTAACTGTTCTGTGTTCTGTGTGTCCATCTGTATGTACTAACTCTCACAGAATTAATAGAGAAATGGAAATGACATCCACATCTATGTTAATAAAGTAATAATTCTATCAAATACATTACTTTTATATTCACATTATTTCTTGCTTTGCCTAAATATTGTCATTCGTTGATTCCAGTACTTCTGATATATTTACCTGTGAAAGAAAATGATTAGAGACTAACTTAAAATGTTCAGCACAGAAGGTACATAAATGGCTGACTGTATAACTTTTGCCGTGTGAAATAAAATCCAGCTTCACAAAATAAAGGTCAAAAAAATTTTTTTTTTTGTGAGACGGAGTTTCACTCTTGTTGCCCAGGCTGGAGTGCAGTGGTGCCATCTTGGCTCATTGGAACCTCCACCTCCTGAGTTCAAGTGATTCTCCTGCCTCAGCCTCCCAAGTAGCTAGGATTACAGGTGCCCGCCACCATGCCCAGCTAATTTTTGTATTTTTAGTAGAGACAAGGTTTCACCTGTTGGCCAGGCTGGTCTTGAACTCCTGACCTCAGGTGATTCACCCACCTTGGCCTCCCAAAGTGCTAGGATTATAGGCGTGAGCCAGCATGCCCGGCTGGGATGGTTTTCTTGGCATATTTCTACATCTTAAGCAGAAGCCATCTTTCCTTTAATAACATATTTAATTTATTTAAGAAATACAGAAATACTTATATTTTCTGCTAATTCTTGTGTCAATTTTGGTATGTTAAATTTTTGAGAGAATTTTTCTAATTTATATAAGTTGTGAAATGCTTTGTCATAAACATGTTGACAAAAGTTTTATATTTAATGTTTCTTGGATCTGTAGTGATAACTTCTATTTCATTTATTCTGTATACTTGGGCTTACATTGTTTGTTAAGTTTCTTAGAACATAATTTTAAGTCACAGATTTAGACATTTCTTCTTTTCTACAATAAGTATTTGGATATAAATTGCTTTCTAAGTGATTGTTTTGTTGTGTTCCACAAAATTTGATATATAGAAATGCTTTCCAATTCTCATTATTTATTCTTTGATGCATACACAACCTAGAATTATGTTGCTTTATTTCCACATATTTGGAAATATGCTAAATAGTTTATTTTATAGATTTCCAATATAATCCCCTTGTGGTGAGAAGTATACTCTGAAGAATTTAAATGTTTTTAAACACATGAATATTTGTTTTATGGCCTAGCATGTGGTTTATTTTTATGACTGTATCATATGTACTTAAAAATGGGTATTTTGCAATTGGGTTATGATGTGTTCTATAAATAGCAATTTAGTCAATGGAATGGTGGTATTGTTCAGATCATGCATGACTTTGCTAATTTTTCCATGTTCTATCAGTTGCCAAGAGAGTGGTGTAAACATTTTCTACTATGAATATAGAAGCGTCTATTTCTCTTTAAGTAATATACAAAATGTTAATGATTTTTATGTATTTTTGATGGATTAACCCTTTTCTTTCTAAGCAACATCACTCCATGCAACAGAGGGAGACCCTGCCTCAAAAAACAACCAACCTGCACACGTACTCCTGAACATAAAATTGAAGGTTTTGTTTTAGTTTTTTTTTTTTTTTTAAGAATTAGGTTTTATGTAAAATCATGTACTAGGAACAGGTTGGTGGCTATATATCTTAAGAACATGATAATACTTGAGATAGGACTTGAAGGAAAAATGAGAGAAATCTAAGCAGAGACATAGAATAAAATATTCCAGGCAGAAAGGCAGGGTTATCTGCCTTTCTCTTCCATAAATGTGATTTAGTTCAAATCTGATCCATCAGCCCACACATTAATCAGTGGAGCATGGAAAATGGTATGTTCCCAATGAACATTACAAACTGAGGTTGACTTCCAGCCCGTTTAGAGCAGAGGAACATATTTTAATCAATGCCTCTTGATAAAAGAGCTTTATTCCAGCTACTGCACTTTCTTCATCAGCTCTCCAATGATGCCTGGAGCCGTGAGAATATTTTTCTTTATTTTTGCCGCTCTCATTCTTCTTGCTCAAATTTTCCCAGGTAAGAGGGAAGTTCTTTTAGAGAGAGAGATGACAGTCTGCTCAGGATCTGTCTTTTGAGAAGAAAGCTCAACTTTTACAAAGTTGAACTTTCCAAGGCAAACCAGTCACTGAAAATCTTTTCCTGAGCTCAGGCACAAAACAATGGGACCTCATGACCCAGACCATCTCCAACCGTTAATAGTATCCAGTCAACTTCCCTAATAGCTCTGCCAAGGAGTTCAGACTTCTTTGGACCTGTAGGTCGCTTTCCTCCTTTTATAATCTGCAATGCAGGTTCAGCATCTTCCAAAGTGATTGCTTTAAAATGAAAAAAAAAAAAAAAAAATCCAAGGCAAATGCCAAACATATTTGCTTATTTAGAAAAGTACAGCCTTTGTAGTCTAAATTAAACTAAAATTATGTTAATAGATTCTTAACTAATTTTTTTCACGTCTGAGTTGTTGGTCCAAATCTCTTATCCACAGATTATTTTAGGCTCTCTGGTTTTCACACACTGGTTGAAAATTATACCATTAAAACCACTAAACTAACATCTTACTATTCTCTTAAGTCATTGAGTCTCTCTTTGCTTAATACCAACCATGATTCTGTTCCTAAGAAACGTTTTTGACCATACCTCCTCAAGTATCCCTTGTTCCTTCTGTTATGAAGCTTTTCCTGTTAGAGGTTCTCCATGCATCATGAAGCCCCTGTCTGCTCCTTCATGGCTCCTGAATTTCTACATTTCTTTATTACACATTCTGTCCTCAGTAGTTCTACCAAACCAACAGATATTGAATGTGTGCTAACCAATTATAAGAAATTGTTCTGTCCGCTACAATAAAGGTAGGTAAAGTGAAGAGGCAAAAATATAATTAAAGCATGGACATTGACCCTAATTTGCTTGAAGTTATTAGTCAGTTATTTCTGTGTTGTTCAAAAATAGATTGCCTGTAATGGTAAATAGACATTTAATAAATTTAACATGTATGAGTAAGTATACCAATGAGATGGGAAGTTACACAAATAACTTTAATATGAAACAGTTTTCACAAGTTCCATAAAAGATGCAAAGTATAAAGAGAAGCCATAGATCCAGAAACTTGGTTCTAACTAGAAAATGCAGAAAGACTTCCTGGGAAGTAGTATTTACATTGCACATTTGGAAATAGGCAAGACTAGAACTAAAGATCAGAGCCAAGGAACACTGCCCCATAAAAGTCTGAGTGACCCCATTGTTTCAGTGACCCCTTTGACTGCAGGAAACTTTCAGTGACCCCATGAAAGCCTCAGCTGTAAAATCAGTTCCCTATTTTCTGCCCTCAGCATCTTTTCATAGATGTCAGACAATGCTCCAGGATAAACGCATTTTAAATTGTCTTCTCCATCCACTTTAATCAGTACTCCAATTTATTCAGATCAATCTATAGACGTAGATGCCTAATAGTTCCCTGTCCACAAAACTCATCTTGGACATATTTTATTTACAATAATAAGCATAGTCTGGGCACAAATTAGGACCACCACCATCACCATAATCGCACGGAATCTCAGAGTTAGAAGTGAATTTAATGATCAACATAAAAGGCAACAAACATAGGTTATTAGTCCAAACTATATGAGTTTGGATCTCAGTGACAATCTTTATAAGCTGTATGTACTCTTGTGTTTTACTTTCCTTTCTATAAATGATAACAATAACAGCATTGTTTTGAAGAGGAATAAACTTGTTACATTAATTAGAAACTAACTTATTATAATAAAGAAACTTAGAGTGACTGAGAAAAGATAAAACCTTATTTCATGTAAAAGTCCAAAAATAGCTAAGTTGACTAGGTGAGGGTACAGGGTTTGTTTTCACCAAGTTATGTTGTGATTTGGGCTGAAGGTTAACCCTGCTTTCCTAAACAGGTGACCATTTTATTGGGTCCCAAGGATGTTCCAACAGGCAGGGTTAGAAAGTATAGAACATGATCGAGATTACATAGAAGCAGCTCACATCATTTCGCTCCTTTTTCATTTTTCCAAGTTTGTTCATATGGACATATAGGAAGCTAGGAGCTGATGTCATTAGCTAAGTATTCATGTGTCCAGGTAACCCAGGGGCTCTATGGCTAAAAGTCTGAAGGCAAAAATGACTGCTTTGGGACAGTTTGACAATCTTTCTATATAACTGGGCATTGCTGGGCACATACTCTATGCTATGTTAGAGTTTACTATTGTTTAATTGTCATTTGTTCTTCTACTTACTTTTTTTTTGTTCTTTGCCCTGATTCAGTATTGAATATCCTATACATGTTTATATACATATGTCAACTACTGATTGTCCAGAAGACTGATAAATTTCAGTAATCTGAAACTCACAGTATCCCAAGTTCAACTTTGGACTATTTAACAATTTCTCCTTAATTTGAGCACAAATATAAGTCCCTGCAATTTCCTTCCATTAGTCTTTGCCTTCACTTGGAACTAACAAAATATCTTCCACATGATAGTATTTCAGATATATGGCAGCTGATATGTACTGTTTCTTCCCAAAAGTTGTTATTTCCAAGAATAAACATTGCTCCTTTTGAGATTAACTGCAACTTCTTCCACTATTTTTTCCTAAGAATATATCTTACCAATTTAAAAAGATTCCTGTTTTGACATATTTTTTCTCTCTTCAACCTAATCTCTGTTATGAGTGGGGGACGTTGCCTACGTCTCATTTGCTTGCCAGAGCTAAATACATGATTCCATTGGTGTTCTTTGCACAGTAAATTGAGAAGGATGAGTATCATGGTTTTTTTTTTAATCTTTCTACCTAAAACTAAGACTCCAAAACCATATGCCAAGGCATATAATCTATTATTGGTCTGCCTATAATGCAACAATCTTTAACTTTTGCTATAAATCAAAGACTATTTGGAGACATGGAAAAAAATCTGTTGGTAAGGACTGTTTATTGAAATCAGAAAGTATTTTGTCACCATCCTTGGAAGAAACATTGTTTCTGTACAAGCTAGATATGATTTTGACATATAAAAATCTTTTCTGTTTTTTCTAAGTGACTTAATAAGGACATTGATTATATTGTACCAGGGTTCTGAGCTCAGATAGAACTGTTCAGATAACATCTGATTTTTCTAATTTCTAGGTTTATAGTCTGTGTTTCTAGCAGTGGCAGTAATGAGGAAGTCTGAATTTGGCCAAGGCAATGTAATTTTATATTCCAGTTACTAATTACTAGATAACTAAAAACAAATTGCTTTCTTTACTTAGCCAGGACAGCAATTCATAGAGCACTGATTTGTAAGAGACTGGAAGGTCACTGTGAAGCTGAATGTCTTACTTTTGAAGTAAAGATTGGGGGCTGTAGAGCTGAATTAACACCATTTTGCTGCAAAAACAGAAAGAAGCACTAAAAACTAAGCACCAGCTGAAAGAATGAAAGACGTAAAGATTCTCTGGCTACGATATCAGTGGGACAAATCTCTCTGTACCTTCTCTCTTTGATCTGCAAAGTTTGGATTATCCGAAGCCGTGTCAGTCCAGTTTCCAATGCTAGAGAGACACCCTTCCTAGGCTGTGAACTTCTTCCAGGCAGGCACTATATCTTTTTGACCTTTGTAGCCTCAGTTCCTGACACGGGGCCTATTAACCATTTTTTTCACTTTATAAAAAAGTAAGCCATTGAATAAATAGATAAAACAGATGGAGTGGAATGGCTGGACTGGTACTCAGGTGAATTGAGTTTTAAAGTTGTAGCTCTGTCTTTAAACAGATGTAGGACATTGGGTCCTCTGTGCAAAGATTCTGGTATCTATAATGTGAACAGCTTGAGCCTCACAGTAAAGGGAATTCCTGCTAGACGCTAATTGTGGCTGCTTCAGCATTATCACTGTCATGTACTCCTTCCTCTCTTTTATAGTTAGGAATTGCTTAGAGTGTTTTTCATTTTCTTGTTGGATCTAAAACATCAAGTTTTACAAAGAAATGCCCCTAAATCAAAATTCAAGTTGGCTGTAGATTGAGCAACGTCTGCATTCTGGCTGTTTGCAGTGAGAACTGACCAAAGCATGCTTTACTGAAGCTGCAAGTTCCCCAAAGGTCATCTAATTCAGCACCCGTATTACAAAAGAGGAGACTGAGACTCAAGAAGATTATACAGTTACTTAGTCTCATTTATATTCAGACTTTGGGCTTTCTGGACTTGTCTTCTTAGCATGTTCACAAAATAGCATGTTGGAAGAGAACAGAACAGCAAAAGGCAATCCCAAAGATGGAACATTTCTCAGCAGGTTCAGATGAATAAATAAATGGAGGAAGAGACCTAAACAAACTGGGGGAAAAAAAAAAAAACTAGAAAAAAAAATGGACACTTTCTAAAATCTATTATGATCCCCTGATCCCTGCCCTTTCAGAGCCATAACAATGGCAAACTGAGGCTTGCCTTTTCCCTAATTTGCCAAAATTTGGAGACTCAGCTTTCAAGCAGAGGAAAGTATGTATCACAGACCATTTCATCATAGAAGACTTACAGCACACCCTCCCAGAACAGAGGCAGCAAAACCCCTCCGTGCTGCTCTAGAAAATTTCCTTCTCTAATCAATTAAGCTGGCTTCCTGTAGAGATGTAAATAAGAGAGAAAAAAATCTGGAACAAGACAATTTGTAAAATGTTTTAAAATAACAAATAAAACGTGTTTTCAAGAGATCTTCTGGTATTGGTACTTGTCTTTATGGTGCTAATTTTCTCATTCTGAAAACTATGCTGGAGGAAAATATGTAAAGTTATCTGTTTCAATCAGAGGAACTTTCTCTGTTTCTGCATATTTCCTAGAAATTCCTTATCCATTGTCTCAGATAAAACTAACAGCCTTTGAGAATCTAAGTGTATTTAGGCTTTCTCATTTCTTTTTTCCTTTTCTTTTTTCCCTATCAGTGTCAAGTGACTTGAAATGCAATATGCATGTCCTGTCTCCACTGTTTTCATAGCCCATATCCTTCTCAACCTATAGAATGTCTTTAAAAGCCAGGTATAAAGGCTCATACAATTTCAGCACTTTGGGAGGCCAAGAGCCCAGGAGTTCGAGACCAGCCTGGTCAACACAGGGAGACTCCCCTGTTTTTCACAGATAAAATGCCCTGTGATCATTTAAACCAACTGGTTTATCATTTAGCGTAAATCACTTTAACTGAAACTAAAGGAGTGTTGTTGCTAAACTTCCTTTGTTGCCAATATATTTGTAGTTTATGTTCTCATTTGATAATTATTTCAGTTCTAAACTGCTCACTCTCATTCCTCTGGGAAACTCAACTGAAAATGTTAAGGACTCTGTTCTCTTATGAAAGCCCTTCTGCTCATATGGTGACTTCTGTTCCTGGTTGTCTATATAGAAAGGTCCTTTTTATTCCAAACAAAGACATTCCACTGTCCCAGGTGAGCGTGAGCTACTGACCAAAATGAGGCTACCTATCTCCTGTCTCTCTGGACACCTTCACCTGTGAGGACTATTAGCATTCTCATTTGCCATTTAATTTTTTTCCCCTTTTTTTTTTTTTTTTTTTTTTTGAAACAAGTCTCACTAAGTGGAAAAACAATCTGTGGAAGCCTTGACAAGTTTAATAAAATCGAGACCTTGAGGGAATCCACTGGGCAAAATCTCCAATATCTATATATGGAGAAGGGGCTGTATGAGAAAGCACAAAAACTGATGATGGAGAGAACTGTGTCGTCTAATCCCTGCATGAGCTCCTCTGACCGTGAACCACAGAGCAGGCCTAGTAAAGCCTGACTTAGACGAACTGTAGTCAGAGGTGCTCCAGGTGTGTAGATGACCCGAAGGTGGTCCTCCTCGTTGACCCACACTAGGAAGGTCCTACTGTCATCGTGCCAGATGCCGCGGGCTCGGGCGTCGGGCCAGTGGAGGGCCACGCCGGACGCCAGCAGCAGGCGCGACACGGGCTTGTCAAAGAGGAAGTGGGCGGCGATGAGCTGCTGCAGCTCCGCCTCGGTCACGCTCTTGGGCGCGCAGTACCCGCCCGCCAGCTCGCAGTCCAGGCTGGACGGGGCTTCCACCGCGAGCTTCTCCTTGGTGCGGCGCTCCCCGTGCGCACCCAAGAGCTCAGGGCGTAGGTGGGGTCCAGGTCGTCGCCGTCCTGCAGGTTGCCGGGGTTGAGGTCGGTCTTGTGCTCATCTTGTGCTCAATGTGAGACTTGGAGGAGACAACTATCCAAACTGTATCATTTCTCTTCTTGCCTTGTCCTAATAAAGGAAGGAAGTTACTTGTAGTGATAAAGGCCTTGGTTTTCACTTCGTTGTCTGCTGCCTATTGAAATGGGTCAGAACATAAAAGGGTTTTTCTGAGGAAAGGTAAATGCTTGGAAAAGTTCCTGTTTCTGACCCTTTGAGATGAGCTCACAATGAGAATTTGAGCTACACTGTGCTCATAGAGTCCATGAGCTTCCTGGTGTCCAGTAAGGCGTAAGTCACCTTCCTGGTGACAGGGCAGCATATTCCACTCGAGTGAGTCATTGTGTAAAACACATTTGAGGCACAACTCTCATTACAGTTGCAGCCGCCACGCCGGTCCTCCATGATGGGGTCGAAGAGATCCTTGAACGCTTCCTCGTCGCCCGCCACGCAGCCCACGGTCAGGACCTATGGGTGGCCCGGGTTGTCCACGCCTGTCTGGATGATGCCGTCCAGCGTGAAGCCGCTCGCCGTGCTCTTGGCGCGCAGCGCCGCGTACAGCTCAGGGTCGGTACGTGGTTGTGGCTGCTCAGGTCGGGGAAGCAGTCCTCAGCCCCGAGGCGCAGCTTCAGCGTGTTGTGGCTGTTGGAGAACAGCATGGCGGCGGCGGGGGCGGGGGCGGGGGCGGGGCTGGGGGTGTTGCATCCATCCGCAGCTCCGGGTGCTGCACAGGCGTCACTAGAACCGCTGTTCCGCTTGCCACTTCAGTGGTTTTGATTATTCCAACATATATATGGTTTCTGTCCAGTGAGCTCTCTCCACTGAGTTCTCCTTCAGTCAATGTTCTGCCCTCAGTCTTGAGAAAAGTAACAATGGAGAGAAACTTTAAGCATGTTGTGTATGGGTTACATCCTTGAGTCAGTGTTCTTTCCTTGTACTAGGGAGTGTCCCACTTCCCCCAAAATTGGGTATGACATAAGCTGTAGTCCTGAGTCACAATAAGATGTACTATTTATGTGGTAAAATTGTATGGGATTTGACTAATGCATACCGACAGGTTCTTTTATTCAAGAATGTTTCTTTTATTCAAGCTCCTCTTCCCTCCACATACAGGGAATCAATCGCCGTTTGTATATTGTTGTTGGTGTTGCTTCTTTGTTTCACTTCTCTGTCATCAAAGCAAATCATACCGTGCTCTATTTTCATTTGATCTTCCAAAAGAAAACTACTGAATATATAAACAAGAATTTCAGCTATTCAGACTCAGATCCACCGCTAAGCAGTCAAGGCCAAGGCTCCTGCGCTGCAACACTACGGCCGGGAGAGGGCGCTGGAATCCGCCTTCCGGCTCTGCAATCCGCCTTCCGGCTCTGCGGGGCACATGCGCATTCTGGCTGCGGAGGCGGGGCTGGGTCTCCAGGGAGCATGGGAGCCAAGGCTTTGGGGCGACTCCGGCAGTGTCCGTCACGAGGAAAACTTCCGGTCGGCAGCCCTAACTGCTGAGAAGGGAGATTCACTGCAATCTCCCGGATATTTCTCTGAAACAGCAATAAAGACTTAATTTTCTGAGCTGTTCCCACGTGTTTTGTTCTGTACTTCCTGTTGGCATATTTTAGCATTATTTAACAAATGTATAAATTTGGGGTGGGGGAGGGCTTTTTGATGGATAATTGAAGCAGGCTGTAATATGTCCTCCCTGTGACCTCTTTCAGGATCGACTGTGAGGAGAAACACAAGAATTGTGAGGAAAGTCTGCAGAATACAGGGACCCTGCAGATGAAGAAGTGTGGGACCAGGGCAGGGCCGGCAGTCTCAGTGCAGCTCGAAGGATAGGGGCTCCTGCGGAGAAACCCCGAGCTCAGCATCCGTGCATTTCCACATCGTGAGGGGCTCCTCTTTCTTACAGTGCTAAGTCTCTGGAAAATAGACAATGAAAGAGAGGAACGTTAATTCAACATTCAGTTGATGACACTAAAGCATTAAGAACTACATCTTTCTTTTCATCGTAGCACTGCAGATTTTAAAAATGATTTCCATTACAAAGGCAAGGGGAAGAGGTACACTTGTGAACAACAGTTTGGACCCCAAATGAAACTATATTGTTAAATATTTCTTCAAAAATAAGTCATTATTCTGTTTCAGTATATATCCTGAGATTTTAACCTATAAATAGGTTAAAAACATTTTGTTTATAGTCAAAACGAGTATAATGGTAAAATATTTATTTGGCAAGCCCCTCATATTTTTATTCTTCTACCAGTTTGCCACCCTTAGGTTTTCAGCTAGACTTGACACAAGAAACACAATGAGAGGTCTTTCTCTTCCTTGACTGTAAAATATGCATACTCCAGAACACTCAACATAGGCTGTTTCTTAACTATTTCAACCTGAACCCTACAACCAGAGAGAATGTAGTCAAGTAATCCAATATTTTTTTTTTTTTTTTTTTTTTAGACGGAGTCTCTAACTGTTGCCTGGGGTGGAGTGCAATGGCAAGATCTCGGCTCACTGCTACCTCCGCCTCCCAGGTTCAAGCAATTCTCCTACCTTAGCCTCCCAAGTAGCTGGGATTACAGATGCCAGCCACCACTCCTGGTTAATTTTTTGTATTCGTAGTAGAGACATGGTTTCACTCTGTTGGTCAGGCTGGTCTCAAACTCCTGACCTGTGTTCCATCCACTTCTGCCTTTCCAAATTCTGGGATTACAGGCGTGAGCCGACATGCCCGGCCAAGTAACCCAATTTCAAAACTATGTCTGGGGGCCAAATGTGGTGGCTCACACCTATAATTCCCAGCACTTTCGGAGGCCCAGGTGGGCGGAACCCTGAGGTCAGGAGTCCAAGACCAGCCTGGCCAACATGCTGAAACCCCGTTTCTACTAACAATACAAAAATTAGCCAGGCATGGTGGTGCATGTCTGTAATCCCAGTTACTCAGGAGGCTGAGGGACGAGAATCGCTTGAGCTGGGCGGCGTGGGGTGGAAGTTGCAGTGAGCTGAGATTGCGCCATTGCACTCCAGCCTGGGTGACAGAGCAAAACTGTGTCAAAACAAAAACATACATCTGGCAGGGCGCCGTGACTCATGCCAGTAATCCCAGCACTTTGGGAGGCTGAGATGGGTGGATGACAAGGTCAAGAGTTTCAGATCAGCCTGGCCAACATGGTGAAACCTGTCTCTACCCAAAATACAAAAATTAGCTGGGCATAATGGTGCACACCTGTAATCCCAGCTACTTGAGAGGCTGAGATTGGAGAATTGCTTGAAACTGGGAAGTGGAGGTTGCAGTGAGCTGGCTTGCACCACTGAACTAGAACCTGGGAGACAAAGTGAGACTCCGCCTCAAAAAGAAACAAACTAACAAATAAAACTACATCTGATCTTCCGCAAAGTATCTGCTATTTTCCTTAGAAAAGACCAAAATCCATGAAGCAAAGAGACCTCGGAATAAAGGCAGTAAGGTCTGCCTTGGACTCTTTTATGACATTAGCAAAATTAAATGAATTATCCTGTTTTTTTTTCTTATTCATCTAAATGACTTTTTTTTTTTTGAGATGGAATTTTGCTCTCGTTGCCCAGGCTGGAGTGCAATGGCACGGTCTTGGCTCACCACAACCCCTGCCTCCCGGGTTCAAGTGATTCTCCTGCCTCAGCCTCCTGAGTAGCTGGAATCACAGGCGAGTGCCACCACTCCCAGCTAATTTTGTATTTTCAGTAGAGACGAGGTTTCACCATGTTGCCCAGGGTGGTCTTGAACTCCTGACCTCAGGTGATCCACCCACCTTGGCCCCCCAAAGTGCTGGGATAACAGGCATGAGTCACCACGCGAGGCCTCATCTAAATGACTTCTTACTAGAGGGGAAGACTTCTCAGAAAAAGACATTTTGTAATTAGATTTATTTTTATAAACATCCAAGGGAAACAGAGTCTATACTTCACCTAATAAAACTGATTAGGGTATCAGCTAAATGGAAAGAGAATCTACAAACAAATTTATACAAGATCTAGGGAGAGAATGTCGCCCTGAGCTCAAGGGCCTGTTAATGGTGGCACGTCCGGTAAAAGTGCAGCCTCACAGATTTTCCATCTAGTTCAGCTCTTGTATTTACTGGTCACCTTTTTCTCCTCCGATACCATCTAACCTTTTTTATGTTGTTAAATAATTTTTAATCATAAAAAGGTTAATTCTGAGTTTGGGCATTTGGTGTCTGGCCACCTGAAAGTTCAGGTGATTTTGTCCATGGAAGACATGGATTTTTAAATAATAATAACGTTGAAAGGGGAACTTGCATTACAATTCGGAAATCAGTCCAGTGGGGGATACAAGCAAGAAATAAGTTAACAGACAGATTAGCACATAGTGACATATTAGCAATTAAATAAAGGCCCTTTTTGTATTTTCTTCAGCTTGTCTTATGAGCCTATTATGTTTGGATAATTTTCGCCAGGAGAGTCATTTTAAAACTTCATTCACTTAAAATACATAGTATTTTATTATTTAAAAATACTGTTGCTTGGAGTGGTGGCTCATGTTATGGTGAAACCCTGTCTGTACTAAAAATTCAAAAATTAGCTGGGCTGGGTGGCACACACCTGTAATCCCGGCTACTTGGGACTCTGAGGCAAGAGAATCACTTGAACCCCAGAAAATGGGGAGGTTGCAGTGAGCCAAGATTGCACCACTGCACTCCAGCCTGGGTAACAGAGTGAGACTCTGTGTCAATTAAAAAAAAAAAAAAATACTGTCAGCCCTCCACGTCCATGGGTTACAGCTCTATGAATTCAACTAATCATGAATAGAAAATAATCAGAAAATATTTACACAAGTTTCCCTCCCCACCCCCAAAATTTGAATTTTCCGTTCACCAAATTCTTTACTGAGAACACATAAATGATGTGAGGTCTGGGCATTGTATTAGGTACTGTAAGTAATCTAGAGATAATTTAAATGAATTAATATGAATATGTTATGTCTAAATTCTATACCGCTTTATTCAAGGGGCTTGAGCATCCACAAATTCAAAGTTTCCTAGAACCAATCCTTTATGTTTACCCAGAAATGACTATACACATGAACTTTTCAAAAAATAATTGTCTTTCCTAATTAATAAACAAAGTACAATAGAATGTAAATATCACTATTTTAAAATACTGATATTTTATATCACAATTATATGGTGAATCAGAGTAGGAGTTACGTCGGATTGACTTTGATTAGATTAAGCTAATTATGACAGGGGCACACCCATATTGATTGAGTTTTGATAAAAGTACTCCCCTGCAGGTCCTTCCTATTATTTAATCAGCAGCACCAGCCAATCACATTCATCCATCTTGACAAATCCCATGGCTCTATCTCTTATAAGCCTCTTGGAATTTTCCCAAGATTTCATTCTAGCAAAGCATCATTCGACCTGTCCCAGGCCAGGGCACACACTCCCATGTTCTGGCTGTGCTGAGCTGATCATCTTCTTCGGGTAAAGGAAAAGATCAAGTCGTAGACTGTGTCGATTTACAGAACATAAGTCAAAGATTGAGATTTTCTGATACAAGCAAATCTAGAGAACCTTTACTATGTATGGTTACCAGTGCCCAAGAAGCCCCAGTGATTTCTGGACAGAATTGCAAAGTGACAGTCAAGGAGAGAGCAGGTATGTTGGGATGTGTGTCCATTTTGGGTTGCCAGGAGGTTGACGTGTGACTGTGTGTGTGTGAGTGTGTAATAAAGGGCCAAACTAGGGCAGAGAAGGCATTGAATATTATAAACTTGGAACACGTAGGGAAGATGTAAGACCCACAGTGGAGGCCCACAGGATGTAGCCAGCATGGGGGTTTCTGGAACCTGTTAGGGGGCTCATCTCAGGCTTCCTCCACTGTCCATCTATGCCTCTCTAAATGAAAGTCGGCTTGTGTGTGGAGACACGTGAACTGTGGGCATGATCTAAATTTATTCCTTGTGCTCACTAGAAAATGAAACATTTCCCATCGTCTCTCACTCCATTCACACTGTAACTGCATAGACACGGGGTTCAGATACCCGAAATACCAACATCTTCTCCTAAAGTCCTCAGACCAAATTAGATGCCCCTCCTTCTCATGTGGATGAGCTCCTGAAAAGCTGTTTGCTGTGGTCACCATTCCTGGTCACATACATGCACCAATAGGAAAAGGCTTTGGAAAAGGTGAGGGTGAGAGATGAGCATTAGTACTTATTGGGTACAGCTACAGTTTGAAGTTGAGCACAAGTGCACTTGACCTAGGGCCACAGGAAAAATGTGTACGGGATGACAAATGGAGTTTTTGCTTGTGAGAATGGACTCTGTGTCACTGTGTGGAAGACTGATAGGTCCCTTTCTGTCCTAAAGCTTGGCTACCACACAAATGAATCCACCCAAACGTCGCCGAGTGGAGCAGGGTCCCAGGACAGGTGAGGCACTCTCCCTGATATTTCTTAAGATCCCCATGCCTGGAAGTCAGTGTCATGTCTCATAATATCATAAATGGAGAGGGTGTTTCTGCAGGATGAGTGGGTTGTTGAGGGCTGATATCCTGAAGCTGGCCTGTGCTGGGTTGTGGATTTCTGAAGGTCATATTCTCAAATCCAAGAGACTTTTGCTGGAAGAGAGCCTTAACCTCCCTCACTGTGGTCTCTCTATAGGTGCAAAAACACCCTCAATTCCAGGAGCTCCACACCAGGATTTATGCCAGTCCCTGGAACCTTCCCAGGTAAGTTCCTGTGACCCTGCATGGCAAACACTGTACAGTGCTGCACGATCTTCAGGCTCAAGGGACAAGCAGGGGATGTACATTTAGGTGGGTCAGACTGAGAGGGAGTTTGTATTTTAAAGTTGTGGAGGGGGAAGCTCCTGGCATCTCCCTTCCCATGAGCCTCATTTGCAGCCTGTTTGAGGGGAGAATGCTGAGGGCTGTCTTTCCACAGGAGCAGCAGGATTCCAGCACAGAGGAGTTCATCGTGATCCTGGAAGAAGAGACAGAAGTGACCCTGGGCCTGGAAGAGGGCATCCTCATCCTGGCCCCAGAGACAGCCCTACAGCTGACCCTGGATAACACGGTCCTTGTAATTGTCCCTGAGCAGGACCTGAGGTCACCAGATGGCCTGCAGTCCCCTGTGCAGATCCAGTACATCCTGCCCTCCGTTGATGGCTTCACCTTGGAGTTCCATGATGAAGATGGAGACGTCTCAGACATGAGAAGAGAGAATGTGCCTCTTTCGCCTGCAGAAGAGGGGGAGGCAGCACCCCTATATCAGCAGCCCTTGATGATACCCCCAGCAAACCACATGGCTGGGATCAGCCCTTTTCTCCCAGTAACCCCATTGTGCATTCCACGCCGTCTGACAGCCCTCCCCCAACGCTACCGTCTGCCACCCACACCTAGTCCAGTGCGACGCATTAAACCGGACGACTACATTTTCAGCCTGCATGGTATGGAGCTCTTGTGCACCTCCTCCCTCAGACCTATGCCCCCTTCACCAAGTCCTGGCCCCCAGATCTATCACAGGATTCACCATAGGCCTCCTAGCAGAGCACGAAGATGTCTCTTCAGGGAGTGATTTAACCCAAGAATCCCCCGTCGCATTGACAGGTCAGAGATTGTCAATAGTCAGGGTCCTTGGTCAGTGCATTCCCTGTATGTGGAGAGACAGTAATTCCAGGGACCTGTTGCTTCCCCTTTGCCGTTTCCCATCATCATCCACTGTCTTCAACAGCAGAGGGTCCCAGATGCTGCAGGGGCGGGGAGCCCTGCAGGGAGTTCACATAAAATGATCGCATTTCACTTCACACACACTGTCCCTTAGAATTTCTCCTCCGGATTTAACTGCTTAAATCCAACCACACCGAGCTGAATCCCTGACTCCTGCAGGTGAGAGCTGGCGGAGGTGCACAAGAGCTCCATTCCTTGTCTTAATCCAGGCTCCCCCGATCCCCAGGCCGATGTTTTTGAATAAATATTGATGTTATTGAATGAAGTACTGGTGACTGCTGTGTTTGCTTCCAGCTGAGACACTCTTCTGCTCTCGCTTGTCCT